TAACTATTAATGGAATATTTCACGATCATGCGTAGTCTATGCAACGGACTGAGTAACCACTGTAACTGAACGATTATTTATGTGAAAAACTACATGCATTTGTATAGGGAAACTTTTGCGTACAGGTTGACGTTTCGATTTAATATGCATTGCTGAAAGTCTCAAATAAAAGTTCTATGCTTCAAACATAAACATTTAGGAAACCATCTGCACATTATTATTCTACTGTATTTTTGTTTTCAGACTGCAAGGCACACAGTATGATCCATGCTCTTGGTGACTACGTAGACAGTGGCGATAGTTGTCAAATATGTCAGTGCATTAATGATCCCTCAGGCAAAAAGGGAGCTATAATTGCTTGTGCATTTAAAAATAATTGTATCCCAGACCAGGATCCAATGCCTGGATACAAATGAATCCTGTGCTGTGTACATGAGTTTTGGACCTATTGGATCTGCAAGTAAATTAGCTAAATTACAAGATAATTAGCTTTGAAAATGTATCATATCTTTTGGAACTAAGCAAAATAAAATTCAATTTTTCTCACCCAAACTTTGGATATTATGTTAATATTCTACATCGAGTAACCATTTGCAATGTATTCGCACGTGGTACTTTATGATGCCCTTATTTAAATAACTAGATAACACGTATTTTCCATACCAATAATCTCAATTCAAAGGGCCACATAGTGAAATCTTGGCCCAATGGCCGAAGGCTATCGATCTCACAATGTTCCCCAGTGAAATGAAGTCATTAGTATTATCTCCATCTTCTAAAGCAAATTACAAAGTCGTTATTCGCCCTATTAGTCTAGTAGGAAGGTATGGTCCCCAAATATGTATTTTTTTAATGTACATTTTTGTAATCCTAAAGGTCCATACTAAAGATTTTTGCATGTTCCCAGAATGAAATATTGTCCCATGGTATCCATTGGCGGCCATCTTGTCGGCCATCTTGAATTTTTGAAAGAGTTGATAATTATCTCAAAGTACAATAACTAAAAAAATGAAGCTATCATAGTATCCCATATTATAAGATGTAATAATTATGCAAATAGTCTCATTTGCATAAAATATGACATCATTAATCGTAATTTTTGCCTCTTTACAAAGGTATCGCACAATACCTTTCTGCCTGAGTGACCAGTCTTAGTCATCCATGAACATCCATGAATTTGATTATATAGGTACATTAATTTTGAACATATTTGCAATTGAAAGTTTTGGAAAAACATTGTCAGACACTAAGTTATAACACTTCACATGATTATGTTACTGAAAGGGGCGTGGCACTTCTTGAGAAAGAGTTTATGTTAATCATTTCAAAGTACAATAACTTCCACAGATTTGAGAGTTGAAAGCTGTTAGTGGTACCAAAATGAAGCTATAATAGTATCCCATATTATAAGATCTAATAATTATGCAAATAGTCTCATTTGCATAAAATGTGACATCATTTATCGTACTTTTTGCCTCTTTACAAAGGTATCGCACAATACCTTGCTGCCTGAGTGACCAGTCTTAGTCATCCATGAACATACATGAATTTAAATATATTGGTACATTAATTTTGAACATATTTGCATTTGAAGGTTTTGGAAAAACATTGTCAGACACTAAGTTATAACACTTCACATGATTATGTTACCGAAAGGGGGCGTGGCACTTCTCGAGAAAGAGTTGATGTTAATCATTTCAAAGTGCAATAACTTCCACATATTTGAGAGTTGAAAGCTGTTAGTGGTATCAAAATGAAGGTATCACAATATCCTACATTATAAGATACAATAATTATGTAAATTACCGTACGATTTTAACACTTGGTTTTTATTTCAAAACATATCAAATGACTACTATTACGGTAAGGGCTAAGAATACTTTACTGTCTAATCTTTGACCGTCTGAGATGAATGTGTGTTGACAAATCCTGTAGTTAATTAATCTTGGTTTTGCCCCATGCTCCTCCAATAATTCCTGACTTAAGAAACCAGGACGATATCTGACGTTAACACTAAGCACCCTAGAGGTTGGAGCGCTAAAATGTCGGACCCAATTGTTTCTGGGCCCATCTCAGAGGGAGGGGACGGGCCAGTGCATCTACACAGAACACAGCCGCTACTAATTACTACAATGTAGGTATACTGCATAAAAGTAAAAATTGTAGTTTGAACTAGTGTAAGAAAAAAGATTTACAATACGAAAACGGTTGATCTACCTGAAATCAGCTGAGTCTCTCTGCCATCCACACGAGTTATAAAAATGGATGTCGAGAACATGATCATCGGTGCAAGCATGTGATATACTAGTGTCAAGACAGTTTCTGGTGCACTCACAGCTATCACACACCACTACAGTGCTCAGCAAAAATAAATGACACCAGGATTTGCTGAAGTGAGGATTTCCCAAAAGAATAGAATTTTCAAGAGTGGATGAGAGTATACAAAATGTAAAATATACAAAACTTAAGGGATGTGTATCTAGACATCATTGGAAAGTATGAAGTCTCAAATCACCATGGTCTGGAAAAGGTTATAGAAAATCCAGGTGTCATTTATATATGGTGAGCCCTTTACACTTTCGTTGTGGTTCTCACAAATGACATCTCCTATTACACCACACCGCGCGCAAATACTATCTGATCCCGAAAATGAATGGCTGTGGGACGCATGGCTGTCCTTTGACACATCATTCAAAGCCCCGCAAACTTAGGGCGTGGATGTTAATCTGGCATACTTTTCAAAGGAACGAAAGTCCTACGATAGCGGAGGAGAAACTGAATTTCGTTTCCTTGTTTCACTCTGTTGCATATTTGTATATAACTTGGAATCCCAAACACCCGGATGTACTTTGTACACATTGTTCACGGTTACGGATCTCTGTGCGCGGTTCAAGAAATATGTTCGGAAACATGGAAATGGTGGTGCGCGACATAAGATTTGACATTCGCGATATGAGATTCGTGGTTCGAGTACAAGGAACGTAGTTCGCGGTATCAGAACTGATGTTCGCGTTGTTGGAAGTCTAGGAGGCCTGATATGGGCATTTTTAGGGGGACTAAATTTTCCTGTCAAAAATGAATGTCTTTGTTGCCCTTTGAGACTCCAACAGTATCTTAAACATGTTTTAAGAGTTGGGATGTGAGTATTATTGTAAATGCCAATGGGCAATTAGGATAAAATGTCTGCGATTAAATGCACAGAATTAGAAGGGCACTTCCATGAGAATGGAATTTGATATTTCAATTGCTTCTCGCCAGTTTTCTAAACATATTTGCCATATTCTAAATAGTTACAAGTATAGGGTCACTTTTAATAATGCCCATTGGCATTTGCTTTGGAATTTTAAATTAAATGTCTGTATGGACACTTAATCTTAAAGATATTTGCCAATTTGCAGTTCCCATATTTGAAACGCAAATAATTCAGAGAAATCCTCTTTCAATATATATCTTAAAATAAAATATAAGGCAGCATCATGTATAAATGGCATAACACTCAAAGGATTGCCTAAAATAATTTCTACTTATTCCCTTTTGAGAAAAACACTTAAGCCATTCAAAGATTTTTTATAATTAATGTCACTAAATTCAATGTTTTTTGTTGTGTAGATATAGGCATGCTTTTGTTTTTCCGAAACCTGGGATTGCTTGCTATCTTACCCATTATTCTGAGTCATTTTTGGATTGCTTTCAACAGCTGACACATATATTATATATAATATGTCACATCTTCACATTTTTCCTTAATAATTTTGTCAAATGACTTGCTTATTGGGTAAATTTTACGAAAGACAGGTTTTCTTATTTACATTTTGAGTGATTTTGTGTCAGAGCATTCCTCCTAGATATCTCTTAGATCCCAAGTTATTGATATTTTGCAAGAATACCAACCCGTTCTCCATTTAACACTCTATCTACATAAACAAAATTACGAAGATTTCTTAATTATTGATTCAAAAAATAGTGGGTGGCATTTTTGTCTCCCCATGTGCTCGGATTTGGTGTCGTACAGTATTAAGCAGTGACTTTGCAAGGGAGCATGGTATTTGAACAAGTATTGAAAAACATATTTGTAACTTGTTTTAAATTAATAAATCATTATAATCCCATTAGCAGATCGAACAATATATTAAATGACGTATTATGTTTGCTGTCATACTTACTATTTTTCATACTGGATAGACATATTCGTATGCCATTTGCATGTCAGACAATGCATAATTTGCCATTTTATGTTAGTAAACATACTACAACTTTACAATTTGCAAACTAGAGACAATTTCAATCAACACGTGTTAAACATTAAGGAATTATTTGGCATTTTTCTGATTCTTTTTGTTGTCCCCGTCCCGCTGGTCTTTGAACTTGCAAGCTATTTATACTTCAATTAAAGTTGCGTTACATATTTATATTACAAGACGTGACAAATAAGGAACAAACCACAGCTTGACGTCGGATTTTATTTCTCCAATTACGTGAAAACAGCGTGCATATATTCAAGGGGACTACCTAGAGCCAGCTGAAATCGGAAGCAATGAGCTCATATTAGAAGCGGGGCCTTGAAAGATATAATAAAATTGAAATATAAAATTTTCAATAAAACTTTAGGAAGTAAAACTCAGTATAAATGTATTTCATAGTACAACACCCTGTGCAGACAGAGCCTGTGGGAAATATTGGGCGCGGAGCAAATGAGCGGAGGGTGCGGAGCTAACGGTCATTTTTGAATTTAAATTTGGGATATTTCTGAAACTAAGCCGTTTTGGGACTTCAAATATACCAAGATATGTGTATTTGACACCAAATATCAATAAAATTGTGAAAATAGAAATAAATTAACTCAATTAGATCAGTTTGACATAGACAATTGGTAAATACCAGTGAATTCACAAATAGTATATGTTTTTAAATAAACATCAATGATGCATGCGATGCTTCGTGACCCAACGTTTGAGGTATTTGCTTATACTTATAATTGATTCATATTTGAGTTATAGTTTGTTAAATGCTGTCTTCATCAATAGTACAAACAATATCATAAGTTGTACATATAAGAGCACCGATACTTATTTGTCTTTGTGTTTGCGGACGAGCACTTCGGAACAATGAGAACTTTGCTTTTTATCGCTCTAGCCGTTTGTGCTTTTGCAATTGTCGAAGTAAATGCAGGGTAAGTGAGCATGGTGGGCAGGGTAGGTGTTTTGTTAATTTTTTAATTCATTTCTTTTTTCTAGAAGGTTATACTGAATATTAAGAACACATTTTTGCAAAAAAGTAATGAATGTTTAAAAAATAAGAATAATTGGTATTTACCTAAATCTTGCTTGAAGTAATAAAGGGTTCAACTTTTTTCAAACTACTTTTTATACAATCTGTACGACATGGAGGTACTTAACACAAGGTAAATATCTTAAGCATTAATCTACGTCTTCAGTTGTGACAAGCATTGAGACAAAACAACTGTTTAATTCCTTTTATTCCCGTCGGCATTATTCATATCACATCAGGTAGTTTTATAACCCTGAGAATGGTTCCATAAATATGTTACTGACCCCATCCCGTATGGGACAAAATGCATCGTTAAAAGTGAGAATAGAAAATTGTTTGCAATTGATTACCACAGTTAAGTGCACTATGATATTGTTTTTTTACATATTCGTGCAAGTAACATCATTTTACATTAGTCAAACATACTAGAGTCATTAGGAATCAGAACTGTATACATTGTTCCTTACAGTCGTCAAAAAGTATCCCAAATATGATGTCAGGGATAATACTCTTTATATGAACATGTTCTTTCAATGAACCACATCGCAAATCAAAGAGTTTGTTACCGCTCACATTATCATACTATTCATACATGATCATACTAAAATTCATTGGTGACTTTTCAGACAAGGCTGCCACTATGAAGGTAAAGATCACGAAATCGGATCAACGTTTAGACACGAATGCCTTAAATGCAAATGCAGTGATGAAGGGAAACTGACGTGCAATGACGTGAAACCCTACTGTGAGAAGGAAGTCAAATATGTCAAATATAAAAGTAAAGAAATTTAGTTAAATCGTATGAGGACTAACATTCAATTTAATCTTTAGGCTTAAATGACTTCGCCTATGAATTTGAATTATAACAAAATTAATGATGATGAGATGATTATTTTTTACATATAATTGGCAATATTGACCTTATGTGGCAACATTGACAACACATTGAATAGTAAATATTTATTTATTTATCGACTTTTTACATTTTATTAAATCTAAGGAGGATTGGCTCCCAGGATCGAACTTTTGAATTTTTCGTTATGAAATAAGACCAAAATTCATGATTCAAATGTTGAAGTTAACAAAATAGCGGCTATTTGAATTCGAATAATGTAATCACGACATCCCCATATATGGCAAAAATATCGATGTTGCAGTCTGAGAGTTTAATCAAACGCTTCATAGGTAATGGGTTATACGGGAATAATATTAAACTTGCTATAAATAAGTTCCAAAGTCTCTCTAATACGATGATCATAGTAACAATGTTTTCCCTTTTAAATAAACCATGGACAAGAAAATATTTATCTCATGTATTTGTAAAAAGGGAAACTGATTCAAAAATCGACAAAGACGAATTAATAAGTATATGAAATTTTTTTGAGATATGGTTTTATTCATTTTAGACTGTACAAAAGCAAAATGCCCAAAGATTGATTGTCCGGATGGGTCGTACACACCTCCAAGGAGATGCTGTCCTAGGTGTTATCCACCGTGTCATAAACGTATTGTATCAATCAGTTTGTATATCTATATCACGTTGCTATCTGCTATCATGTGAAAATATAACGTTACCCTATTAGAAAGAACAACATTTAACAATGTATATATATGCTTCGTGGATAGTGAGGAGTAGTATTGATTATCTAAGAGGGTATATAATTGTTATTCTTATGTATGTATTCCCTTTACGGGACAATGCTCAAACTGGACCTTTGAAAATGTAAGAGCACATCCCATCTCATGATGATACCAAACTAAGATCTATCGAACCAAAAAGACAGAATGTGGCATAGCTTTGATTAACGATATTTATATTTACGGGTTTTGCTCCATTTTTGGTTCTGTTCATATCCTGTTTAAACGTTAACATAAGCGTCATGACTCGGGTACTGTGTTCTCCCTAGAAGCAAGTCTTCAAACATCAATTACAAAACAATACATAATATTGTAACATTAATGTTTCCATGTCTAGTGCCTCGGTTAGTAGCCGCCAAAATGGATATATCCGAAGAAGGTATGTGCTGCAAAGAAGTGACATGCAGAATGTACTGTGAATATGGATATAAGAAAGACAAAGACGGGTGTGACATTTGCAAATGCAAGATGGACCGCTGTGATGTAAGATAATTAACTATATATTATACATGACCAGCCAAAACAATAAAACCCTCAGTTGGCACAGTTAATATAATTTTGTTACTAATAAAGGAATACATCGAAATGTAAACGTTAGATCAAAATGTAGAAATGATGCAATGAGAAAAGAAATCTCAATCGCCACAAGAGTCATTTGTCGTGGTGATGGCGACAAAATGATTGACCCATATCTTTAATTTTCTTAAATTCATAGTCCCCCTGGACAAAATAAAGAATATGGGCGTCTATATGGTCCTTAACCATTGACATTGTTTCTCAGAAATAAATTTGTGTAAAGATAAAAAGGCAGGTAACAAGAGCCTTTACTGTATAGTCATCTTGATTGTTTTATGAACATATATTGTATGATTAAATCATTTATTTATTACTGTTATTGTATTTACAGGGTTATACATGCGCTGATGATAAAATGTGTACGGTTGAGAATGACAAGGCAGAATGTAAACCTAAAAGTAGGTCGTTGTATGTATAATGCAATTGAGAATAATAAGTTAGTTGTTACATATGCCAATGAATACAGATGTGCAACTATGCAAAACTAATGCACATCTTAAATATTTGATGGGGTGTTTGCAATTTTTAGTTCAAGTTATGTCAAGAGGAAAATGCGATCCAGTGTTGTGTAAGATGTACTGCGAATTCGGCTTTGAATCTGACGAAAATGGATGCGAGACATGCATGTGCAAAATGAATCCTTGTAAGGTATGTGTGCGTCAGGTAAAACTGCCACGTGATATGCAACTTATACTTGGACTCTTTTAAAATGCATTAGTTTGATATACGTTTAAATGTAGACTATGAAAGGAACATCAGCTTCTAAAATGCTTTTGCGAAATTGCGAAAAATGGACTAAACCACAATCTTATATGTATACACGTCTGTGAAATGAAAAATAGGTTGCAGTTTCTTAGTTGCAAGAATATTTTCCAATTTTTGAAATACAAAATGCTCAACTCACGTATCGGTACCATAGTTATTAGTTGATTTTTACGTAGGCTAGTCCAGTTCTGTGTCCAGATGATGACCGCGTTGCAGGTTGTGAGGGTAAGTAAAGTGTTATTATAAACGGCTGAAGTAAAAATAACAATACTATGATCATCGTATTTAAATGTTATTTTACTGACAAATACACATATGTTCTCATCATATTTTCTATCAACTCGTAAACATTGTTTGACAGGATGCCTTGGAAATTGCACAATGTCTTGCCATTATGGGTATAAGACTGATGACAATGATTGTCCAATATGCGAATGTAGAGCTAATCCATGCGCAAAGGTAACATTATACCACTCTAACATAAATGTTTGATAACCAAGATAAATGAATGTATGTTTATGTATATATTATTAAATAAATAGCACTGGTATACCCTTCCATGGGTATCGAGTGCCCTGTAAATGTAATGCTAGATGATTATGATAATAAATAAATATTAAAGTAAAATAAATAAATTAATCTTGAATAGGAAGTTTGTCATGATATGCATGTTTTCATAAGTTGATGTTAATTTGTTGTTCATTCACTCGTAAAGACTATTAGATAAAAATTAATGTGATTGAATGTATTGATATTAACAACCTTTTTTGTGTATTTTAGCCAGAAGAGGTGTGTTCGAATGAAATGCCTTATTGTGTAGTGAAATATAATAAGGCAGTTTGTCAAAGTATGTAGAGCTTTGGGGTTTAGTTTTAGATGATGATATAACATAATATAATATAATATGATATAACATAATATAATATAATATAATGTAATATAACATAATATAATATAATATAATATAATATAATATAATATAATAAAAGCAGTTTCTCAATATTTTGAGGATAATGACTTAGATATCGGAGATAAGTGGTAGACATTAAAAATTAATTTTTCACTATTCATACTATGCTACCAATGACAACTGCATACTTAGTCCAATTGCACACGTGCACGGCACTATATGTAGCTAGTGTTTTATGTTTACCAAAAATTTTGAATACGAAGACATTATACGAGAATATATTAATTTTAGAATGCAGTCCTGTTATGTGCATGATGTTTTGTCAGTTTGGATTCAAGATGAACTCAGATGGTTGTGAAATTTGTGAATGTAAACCACATCCATGCCTTGTAAGATACCCTACTATAAGATATTGCAAGACAATAATATATATATATATAAAATACATGTCAGAATGCTTTAACATGAACCATAATCTCGTATGATTTATATTAATATGGATAATATTATTTAATTTATGGTGTTTATGCGTTGAGATACACCCTGTCATTTATAGTGCATCTGGACATTCAGATAAGTTTTTAATTATTTTTGAATTCAATATCCGTGGAAACTTGTCAGACCATATCACTTAAATCAATTAATTATGAAATTTCACTTCTAGAATAAAGAATGTCTTCCTTACCACATGTGTTACATTGAAGAGGATAGCATGTGTGAAAAAGATCACTGTCCCCCAGTTGCTAAGTGCAAAGGTGAGTCAGGAGTCACGGATATCATCCTATAGTAAGTTAATATATAATATACATTTTTGTTTTGGCTAGCTATCGTGGTCAGCCATTTGCGGTTGTTAACCCCGTTAACCCTATCGGCAAAAATATTGTTGTTTAACATTATGTAATTTATAATAGAATTACGCCATCGTATCAAATAGCCACGAACAAACCTACTTAGTTTTTACTCTTACTTTTGCAAAGAGCGCAAGTACCCAAAACACAACGGCGTCATAAATTCAAGTTAATGCAATTAAAGGTTTTGTGAAGTGAATGTTGGGTGACATGTTATCGTCATCGTACATCAGTCATTAATTCTGACCAATCATGTGGCTTCTAGGTTTAAACGTCGGTTGACACATAACACCTGGTATACCATCTTCTTTAGTTACATTTTTTGTGAATACACACAGCATCTAAGATATTCTTCTTGCGGGGCATTTCATTATATGTACTTTCTATACATTGTTATACCTTTTATTATACATTCAAATCTTAAGTACACGTAAGTGAGTTCCATACAAATTAGAGAGGTGGTTTTTAGTATTCGAATGGTTTCTTGATATTGAAAAATTAATGCATGTTCGACAGGTTTGATTGTTCCTGTCAATATTTCCAAAATAATATATTCAAAAACACTCAGTGTTTATCAAAAATGCAAACAAGAATATTGACTTGGGCAAAGCTGGACTCGATATATAGTTTTATATCAATAGATCCATTGGGCAAACTTTAAGACCAGTCATTGTCATTTGTAAACTTATCTCCCAAGTTTTATCCTGCATGCTTCTATAGTTGTTTTTCATTAGTGTTGTGCTTATTAATTCATTTATTCGTGTTTTCAGCTCATCCATTTTTAGCATGCAAAAAACCTGAAACAGATGACACTGGAAATTTCACAATCTGTGCTGGTAAAGAAATGGTTAACTGTAGCGATGGGTATGATTGTCGTATGTCGCCGGGCCATTATCCATCTGTATGCTGTCCATCATCCCAATGTAAATATGGCGATAAAATCTACAACATCTACGAAACATTTGACTCAGATGACGGCTGCAATAAATGCTTTTGTATGGGAGACGGTAATATTGGATGCACGTTAATGGCCTGTCCAAAGAGAGATTGCACCCATAACGGAATGACATATAAACACGGCGATAGCCTTTGCCGGGGAGACGGCTGTAACACATGCAACTGCATTGACGGGGAGGTAGCCTGCACTAAAATGTATTGTCCTTGTAAGTAACATGTTATTTGCTTGTGTAAATACATACTTTGATCTTGACCATTGGTAAGGACATTTTTAATGTTCGGTCCAGTCACAGGGCTTCACGTTTAGAACGGGAAATTCCACATAGTAGTAGCTTTATTCAAGGAATAAAGAATCATGTATAGTTCTATATTGGGAATATAAAAGTATGCACGAAGGCAAATGGGTTATTACAACAACGAATGCTTTAATTTCCAATATAGAATTATACAGGATTCTTCAAACATGACCCCGGTCAAAGAAGTAGAACAGCTCACCATGCATATATGCAAGACATTTTTGCTGAAATTATTGTAATACTCAAATGCACCTTGGTTACTTTTTTATTCTAGTGAAAGCTTATTAAACTGATATACTGATCAATTTTATCGTTGAGTAAAAATCTATAAACATTATAAGAGGGAATAATAAGCCAAGCGCTTATGCAGGTCAATTGGTATCAGTACTGGCGGTAGCCTCAACATTTTGTGGGTTACATGACCCAGTTCAATCAAAAAAGTGGGTCAAACTTGGAAAATGTGGGTCAAATTGAATTATGATAATAAAGCGTCATTTTCGGATAATCTAAAGTAAATGTGCTGCATTGAGACTTCATGTCTTTGAGACTGAAAAATCAGCTTAGGCCAAAAGGTTGGGTGAAACATAAACCAAATCAATGGATAATGACCAAATAGCAGTGCGGCGCAAACTAGGGGGGTCTGGGGGCATGCCCCCCCGAAAATTTTGAAATTTAGACCCTCTCTATACCGTATAGTATTGAATGGATGTCAAGGTGATGAAATTGTTGTCAGCGTTGACCTAGTTTAACATTTGTTAGTGTTTATAGACTAGTTTGTGTTTTAGAAATAACTAATAGTGGTGTTGCGTTTCAATTCACATTCCTTTGAAAATTATTTAGAAGGTTTCATTGATCAAAACGGTACATTGAATAAAGCTACCTGTTTCAGAAAATTATTCTGCTCTTCATAGTCTCGAAAATCACTTCGCCATCTCTGGAAAGTATGTTCCTTAACAAACTTGGAGATGCTTCCTGAATAGATTAATACTTGCCCTATCAGGAATAAACTTCGCTTCATTTATCAAAAACTAGATGGCGCTTCGACGCGTCAGAAAAGGAGAAAAAGCTTTTTTACAGGAAACCAAATAACCAAGGTTCCTATTCAGAACTATATTCATACCAATACATAAGCGCACCAAAATGCTAAAAGCTGAGAATTAAATGGTATGATTTAATGATGTTTATTGAAGTCTATCATGTTAGTTGGTTGGTTAATATATGCATATATAGGGTGTCTCAAAAAATGTACCCAAAAGTATATCAAGAGCACAGATAAACCAATTAATATTTTTAGACATTTTTTGCATTTCCATGTAGCCAAAACATGGAAATTTCTCCCCAATACACCATTTTTATTTCAGTCTTGTCTTTTTGATGCTTTAACCCTTTACCTTTTACACCACATAATCTATGTAACCTCATATTTCGATGACAGTCTGTATCCTTACTGCTACATTGTTCATCACATTTGATAACAATTCCGGTGGAATGTTTTGGATTTCTCTTTGGATGTTGCCCTTAAGTTGTTCTAGGTCTTTTTGCTTGGAATGAGCATTAAAACACTCCTTCAAATAGCCACAGAGAAAGATGTTTGAGGATGATGATGGCAGAACAAACACAGATAATCAGGTCAATTATCGGCAAATGATTCAGGAGTTAGGCAGGCTAGCCTGGAGACCAAATGATATCCAAATGAAAACACAATGGTCTCAAATTGATACACACAACAATGGCTACACTAGAATCCCAACCAATGCAGTTTCTTGAACCTCTGACCTCTGTATAAGAGGGCTATAAGACATTGTGAGGGCCCCCCTATTCACCATATTTGCGGCCCATACTTTTTTCTCTGGGGCTATTTGAAGGACCATTTTATGCCAAACCCAAGCTAAGAGACCTAGAACAACTTAAGTCCAGCATCCGAACAGAAATCAAAACATTCCAACAGAAATATCAAATGTGATGAGCATTGTAGTAGTAAGGATGTAGACTGTCAACGAAATATGAGGTTACATTGAATATGTGGTGTAACAGGTAAAGGGTTAAAGCATCAAAAAGGCAAAACTGAATTAAAAACTGTGTATAGGAGAAAAAACTTTTATCTTTTATCTACAAGACCATGCAAAAAATGTCTGAAAATATTGAGTGGTTTGTCTATGCTGTTGATATACTTTTGGGTACATTTTTTTGAGACACCTTATATATGAATATTTTTTGAACAAAGTGACGCATGTTATTGGGGATTTTCTGAAGATAGTAATGCCTTCCATGTATGTTCTAGTTCCAATTCAAACATGACCGTTCTCTAATTTCTCATTATGGTGAAATGTTATATTCGTTGGACATAATGGCACTACAAGTAAACTCCCCTTTGATTCGTGCTTTCTACAACATTCTGTCCAACTCGTGCTGAATTTCAACATATTGAATGGCCTGTCATTATTTATTGTTTAAATATATTACTATAATAGCTTGTTTAGTATATTTACTGAAAATACCCCAAACTCACGAATGATGTCTTCCCATATATTGCAGTGGTCACGTCCCTATACTAATTCGTGCTGCATATCTTACATGTAGCATTGTTATTGTGTCACGATCATGAGTTAAACACGTTTTAAGTCTAAGTATAATATGATAAAAGTTATGTGCGTCAAACATGAAAATTTTAACACCATTTTCAATTAACTGTCATACTGTTTTGTTTTCAGACTGCAAGGCACACATGATTCATGCTCTTGGTGACTACGTAGACAATGGCGATAGTTGTCAAATATGTCAGTGCATTAATGATCCCTCAGGCAAAAAGGGAGCTATCATTGCTTGTGCATTTAAAAATAATTGTATCCCAGACCAGGATCCAATGCCTCGATACAAATGAATATAATAATAGGATGAATCCTATGCTGTGTACATGAGTTTTGGACCTTTTGGATCTGCGAGTAAAGCTAACTTACTAGTGAATTGAAAAATCATATCTTTTGGAACTAAGCAAAATAAAATTCAATTTTTCTCATTCAAATTTTGGTCATGTTTATATTCTACATCGAGTTCCTTTTAATTTGCAATGTATTCGCACGTGGTACTTTATGATACCTTAATTGTTACCATTTCAGCTATTTTAGTTAACATTGATTTGTCCATCTGTCTCTCAGTAAGTCCACAATAGTGGCACGTTTTAAAACTTCTGTCGATAGGATTCCTGTTTTAAGTAATTTCTGTTCAACATCAATGCAGAAAGCTCCCCCATGACTCTTGGTTCAAAAGCTAGCCTATTTTCAAAATGGCCGACATTTTTATATCACAAAATACACTTCAATCAGTCAATCCACAATAGTGGCAATAGACTTGCCAACCTAGAATGAAAAAATTTCGGGAGATTTAAAAAAATTGCGGTACTTTTATGGGAGTTTTTTTCAAATCCGGTAGTTTTTGCGGGAGTTTTTTGAAAAAAAGCGGGAGTTTTTACGGGAGATTTTTGAAAAAAACGGTAGTTTTTACGGGAGATTTTGAAAAAACGGGAGTTTTTACGGGAGATTTTTAAAAAAAGGTATTTTTCGCGGTAAATTTTAAAAAACGTGAATTTTTTACGGAAGATTTAAGACAAAACTGGAGTTTTTGCGGCAGGTTCTGAAGAAACGAGAGTTTTTACGGTAGGTTTTGAAAAAACGGGAGTTTTTGCGGTAGATTCTTCAAAAAACGGGAGTTTCTACGGTAGATTTCTGAAAAAACGGGAGTTTTTACGGTAGATTTCTGAAAAACAAGAGTTTTTACGGTAGATTCTGAAAAAACGGGAGTTTTTACGGTAGATTTCTGAAGCAACGTGAGTTCTTACGGTAGGTTTCTGAAAAAAATGTTTTTTTACGGTAGATTTTGAAAAAAACGTGAGTTTTAACGGTAGATTTCTGGACGGGAGTTTATACGGTAAATTTTGAAAAAACGTGAGTTTTTACGGTAGATATTGAAAAAACGGGAGTTTTTAGGGTCAATTTCGAAGAAACATGAGTTTTTACGGTAGATTTTGAAAAAACTGGAGTTTTTACGGTAGATTTTTGATAAAACAGAAGTTTTTACGGTAGATTTTGAAAAAACAGGAGTTTTTAACGGTCGATTTCTGAAAAAAACGAGTTTTTAACTGGATTTTTCACAGATTTTTGAAAAAACTGGAGTTTTTACGGTAGATTTTTGATAAAACAGAAGTTTTTACGGTAGATTTTGAAAAAACAGGAGTTTTTAACGGTCGATTTCTGAAAAAACGAGTTTTTAAGGTAAATGTTTGAAAAGCTGGAGTTAACTGTAGATTTATGAAGCATGAGCATTAAATCCAGCGATTTAATTGGTTGAAATTATTATCATGCGCAGTTTATAAATTAATTAGAACTTATAATCTAAGATAGATGTCACTTACGTTCATTATTTCACAGCAGTCCTTACCCATAATGCGCCTTATATTGCGGGAATATTTTGTTTAGCGCCATATAAAAACGAAATGTATTCTCCCGACAGAAGTATGACAGAATATGAACTGGCCCCCGTTTGTTGACATTTGGTGTGCAAACTTATACCGAACAGATCGCAGAAAAGCAATTTGAATCATGCGAATGAAGTACTTTTAAGTTATTTATGAAAGTATCGATAGTGAACCATGGGAGCCAATCCTTCTTGGAGTAAAAGAAGCGTGCCTGCAATAATCAAGGTCACAAATTTGTCAAATCCCTTTTAAATACGGTGGATTTCGACAGCAAAAACGGAGATTTTACGGGAGTTATTCCAAGAATACGGGAGATTCTACGGGAGTTATCCCAGAATACGGGAGATTTCAGCAAAAATACGGGAGATTTTACGGCCATAATTTTTAAAAAAATTACGGGAGATTTTAGTAGAAATACGGTACGGGAGTTTACGGGAGTTTTTACGGGAGAAAAAGGTACGGGAGTTTGGTATTTTTTACGGAAAAACAAAAAATTTACGGGAGATTCCCGTAAAAAACGGGAGGTTGGCAAGTCTGCGCATGTTTTTACACCTTAGTCGATAGGATTCCTGTTTTATATATTGTCTGCCATTTTAGCCATCATTCACTTTTCTCTTTTTGAGCAACACCATGTGAGCTCAGTACCCAAGGTACTATTTACTAACACCCCAGTCACATTTGTCGTACGGCGGCCGTAAGTCGACCTCAGATCAATTAAATCAGTGCATTTCTGCGGCGAACGTATAGGAAAACTACGCTCGCCTTGCGGCCTCCGTACGGCGTATCCAGTTTTTTTACAGGCGGCAGGGTCGCCGTAGAAATTATAACTCGGAGTTATAATATTTGTTCATTTCTGAGGTCTACGAAGCTTTAAAAGGGACATTTTTTCATTTCTATTTTTGAAAATCATAATTAACTTTTAAAAACTCACAAAATACTTATTGAAAATTTAAAAACTTTAATAAAAATAAAAATAGTTTTTTAAAATCATAATTAACTTATAAAAACTCACATAATACTTATTGAAAATTTAAAAACTTAAATAAAAATGTAAATAGTTTTTTAAAATCATAAATAACTTTTGAAAACTCGCAAAACACTTATTTAAAATTCAAAAACTTTAATAAAAATTGAAGTAACTTTTGTAATTTGAAAATTTAATTTTTTAATTTCAAAATATATATAAAAAAATTAAATAAATTGATTTAAAAATCAATTTAAAGATTTAAAAACACTTTTAGAAAATCCTTAAAACTTTAGACTCTATTTTAGGATTTCAAAAATCAAATATGTAAATGTAAAATGATTTATAGAAATTATAATAATTTTTTAGAAATATTTTTGCAATTTTTTTTTGCAAAACTGATTTTGGAAATTCATAAGTCAGTTCAGATTTTTAGATAAGTCTGAAATTTTTTAAAAGTCTTCTGTAAAGGAAAACTTTATGTGGCGTGTCACGGTTGAAATTAACGGAAGTGAAGGAAGCGGGAATTGTCAAGCAGAAAAGTGAGTATATGTAGGCCTAGTTGTCTATACTAGTGGACTATCTTTTATATATTTTACCTTTGTAAGGCAATCTGTTTGTTCAAAATAACGTAGATGTTGCACTTTACAGATAAACCATTCAAAAGCCAGACATGACGTGAACCACGTGTGCATCACCCCCCCTCAGACCGGCCTGGACAAAAATTCATTCAAAATCATGCAGTTTTTCAACAATTTAGAACTCAGTTCAAGTGATTTTTGGCCAAAGTTGATCACCCTGATTTTTTTTAATGGGATGGTTAGCTAGAGCAGGGGTTTCACTGACTGAATACTAGACACAGGGCCAGGGCTCCTAGCCTGGGGTGTTCACTGTATATAAACCTTGACGGGGGGGATCCTCGGCTCATGTGGGGTCCCTTTTTTGACATTTGGTATGGCAATGGACCTTACTCACTTCGAGAGCCATGTTAGATTTTGAAACTTATGGCTCTCAAACGGAGAAGTGAACAGCTGATCAATAGTGACCTTTGAAACTGAATTAAGTCGATCCGCGGCTTACTTTTGGTCTCTAACTGTGTCTTACATCAGTATCATCAATCCGTGTAAGTATTGGAGCGCTGGAGTACTTCTTTTTCGATCAAGACTTGTAAATTGTTCATCGAGTTAAAGTTTTACAGACCTATTTCCAATATGGCGGTTTGCTAGGTGCGAGATACGCAACGAACGAAATGAATTTTGAGAATTAGTTAGGTTCGGACAACCTCCGGAGATTTACGAAAATGTCCGAGCAGAAACCGCCATATTGGAATTTGGCAGTAAAACGATTCACTCGACCTAACAATTACAAGTCTTGATCGAAAAAGAAGTACTCCAGCGCTCCAATACTTACACGGATTGATGATACTGATGTAAGACACAGTTAGAGACCAAAAGTAAGCCGCGGATCGACTTAATTCAGTTTCAAAGGTCACGATCACTGAGCTGTCCAAATGCTCCGTGGGAAAGCTATTATATCAAAATCCAAATAGCTTTCGCAGGAAGTAAAATGGACCCAATTTTTAGGATCTGGAATGAGAATGCCCCCTAAATTATGATTTGAGGTATGGCAATGGTCAGATTTTTCCACTCCTGGTATGAGAATGGTCATGGAAAATACATTGCCTCTCACTTGTGTATGGCATTGGTCTAGTAGTTACACATATCCTTAATTATCCCAACGAACGAAGTTCTGTAGGGATATAGTGAAGCCCTCCGTCTGTCAGTCCGTCCGTCCGTCCGTCCGGAAGATAACTCAAATACCAGTTGACGGATTTTCTTCATATTTGGTGGAACGATGTATATTGGTGAATAGTTTTACCCAAAAAAAAATTTTCCATGATGGCCGCCGCTTTAAAAATGACTAGACTTTTTCGTAAAAATCATGAATTTTTCATTCGAAACCAAAGTAATAAACATTTTTGTTTGAAATTTTGGTAGTATATTCACAACATCTATTTATTTCACATATATTCCTTGTTTTTCATGCTGACCCCCTGGGGCCGTGTATGGGGGGTCAGGAAAACAGAAATATTCGTTAATTTTGAGGTATTTCTGAAGTATAGCTTTATTATACTCAAATGAAAGGCAATTTAGAGTTGATTGTATCTTTTTTCAGATTCAGACCTCGTGAAATTCAAAATGGCCGCCTAATGTTGGATTTCGCAATAATTTTGCGATCCCTTCAAAGTATGCCTATATTATACTCAAATTGAAGGAATTTTAGAGTAGATCACAATTATGGTATTATTTTTCAGATTTGTACCTCAGAAAATTCAAAATGGCTGCCTTTCAGGAATTCGCAATCATAAAATCTAAATTTTTCAATTCTATGACTGATTGGAATTAATTTGGTAATTGATATATTGTTCGTTGGGATTTGCTACTTCGCGGAGTTGCAGTTTTCTAGTTTGAGGTTGTTTTGGATCGTTTTCCTCAAAGATCTGCCTTCTTCTCGGGGCTTTAGACATTTTAAATGGCCTTAGTCTTACATCTGGACATGTGGTATGGCAATGGTCTTATATTTGGACATTTGGTGTGCTTTGGGGCATTATTTTTGTCAGTATGGGAACACATTGAAATTTAACAGATTGGTATGGGAACATATTGATCATATTTGAGGGTTCAGCCTAGGAACCCGCTGAATTTTGTATACAGTGAACCTCCCGGGCCTAGGGCACTCCCCCCAGTTTTCCGTGAGTTAAAATACTGAATTCTGCAAGTGAAATTAGTGAATTCTGCAAAGAAAAAAGCCAATTCTGCTGGAATTCTGCAGGGTTCCTCTGAGTTTTTTTTGTGAAAAATAAGACATGGATAATAGGCTAAGAGTTAATGACCCGCTATCAAACATGTGAGAAATGAAAGTACCAGATCTTCGAAAAAAAAAAAAAAAAAAAAAAAAAAAAAAAAAAAAAGATCTTCGATCGTTTTCATTGCAAATTCAGTTTAAAATCAACACGTAATCGCGTGGCGTTATATGTGGCACGATCACAGGAATTGTAAATCTTATCCAAATATGACATTGGGTCTGAAAAAAGAATGTCTGATTGAATATTTTCCAAAATATTTTGTCTTGCGTTGCCTTTGCCTATAGACACATTTCACCATGCAGCATATCAGTGCACCAGTAGGTGTTACCCCAGGACCGGGTGAATATCATACTGGTGACCTATACACAACAAATGCGTTATTGTTGATTATTTCATGCACTGCTGTCATGTAAAAATACTCTGTTCGGATTGGCTGGAATCTGACACACTTTGCCTAGCTATGTGTGAATTGATGATTAAGTGAGTTGAATGAATTGATATAATTTACCGGTGATTAGGCAAAATTTACATTTGCCATGTAAAGTATAATTGACTGGCTATGATGACAATGTACCATATATTTTGAAATGACCAATGACATTTATACTTTAATTTATGGTACTAATACATGCTTGGAAGGATGTACCATTCTCGGTAGTTTAGAAAATACATCACTAATAAAATGCATTTTGGGGTTCCTGAAGGGTAAATACAACATATACAATTTTAAATTACCAATTTTTATTCACATTTTCTAAAATACTAGTAAACATGCAGTATAAGCAGCATAGGCCTGGAAGCATGCATAAAAATAGAGTAGAATACACCATGACCATGCAGTAAAGCTTTGTTACGTAACCAATTATCACACTCAAGTAAGATTGAGTCTGATCGACCCTTTGTTCAACTTTTGTGCATACTGTATACACATTAATTAAATTTTACACAGACCATCATTAGCTTTAATTCACAAACAAATACCGTGAATTAATACAAACTCCCTCCATTTTGAATTCTATCTGGACCTGCAGCCATCTTGTTTTGGCAATACCATGGATGCCAATTACGACCAATTACATTTGAATTTCGAATGATTTAGGGTTTTACTGATACCAGAAGTTAAATCAATCATTTAGATGATTGCCGGTAAAATTGTAAATGTGGCTAGAATCTAATAAAGCCGTTTATTTAATTTGGTAAATCCCAATCTGGAAGTTCAGGATTTTCCATGACACAAATAAGAAACTTTATCTCCAATGACATTTAAACTTTAAATTAGCTCGATTTGTGACAACCACATCTGCTGACATTATTTTATTTTAAGATATTAAACCGTTTGAATTAAAACGTCCAGAATAAGTGATTAAATTTGCAAAGTTTTTCACGATTTCAATCGGGGGCCCCCTCAGATTTCGAAACAGGGTTTTCTCGTCTATGGTCCTAAATAATGCAAAGAAATAGTGAGCATATTCGCATATATGTGGAAATGTGATTAGAAATAGGTAAATTGTGCATGCTGCAATTATCCTACGGGAGCCCCATCATGCATTTTATTGGTGATGTATTTTCTAAACTACCACTATTCTCAGATTAATGAAATTTTTGTTTTACAGACATGTTTTGCACTGGCTGTGGGAAACCAGCTGTGGGAAACTTTTGCTGTCACTGTGGTGTAAAATGCCAACCAACACCAAATACCAGTCCAGGCACTAGTAGTGGTAGTGTGTCTTCAGGTATTTATTATTTATTTGGATATACAGGTACACTGTACACTTTTAACAGTAGCACTTTTATAATTTGTATAGAAGTATTTGTTTATAATCAATGTCAAATGAGTGTATTATTTTGCACCATTCACCAGTTTGGAGTAATTGGGGGTTTGGGTACTTTGAACCATCTTTGCTCAAGTACTTTTTAAATGGCTGTGTACTCTGTGTAATTATTTACCATAATTAAACTAATGGAGTATTAGTTTCACATTATGCTGCACTGGAATTACCCAGATGCAAGTAGGTAGTAATAACTAGTAACCAGTTTCACCACCAGGTGGCTAATTCGGCGTAAATAGCATGGCAGGTATAGCAGAAAGTGCCCTTAAACTTAAATATCCATCTGTTCTGGTCGAATAATTTTCATATAACCCTTATGTATCTGATAGTTATACAAATGAAAAAAATGTCAAGTAAAGCAAAATATTATCTGTCCACTATCTGTCCACTAAATGAAAAGACATCATTCACTTTTTGTGATTTTATAACATGGGCTCTATGGGGAATCTCCCCGACCTAGAAGTCACATTTTCAAAGAAAATTAAATTTTGAAAGTTGATTAACTGTTTTTGTTACCACATGTAGATTTCAATATGGTATCACATCGACTGAATTTTGAATATTTAATGATGTAAATCAAGATTATTTCTACTTGCATGTAGGCTAATAGGTTACATGCTTCCGAAAGTGGACTAGTCATATTAACAAATACTGAATTACATGACTATTACATATTTTGCACCAGTATGGAGTATTTAGGATTTTGAGTATGTACTTTAAATCTGTGTGTTTGAGATGTTTAAAATATATCACATTACACCTACTGATCAACATGTAAAGTGGTGTTACATATATGTAATATTACCTGTACCATCTATGTTGTCTCCTTGTAGTAGAACTGGGACAAGGTAAATTCCTTTGTCTGTGTTTTGAATTCTTCTATCTTTGTTTGGACTTTTGTAATGCTTTTTAACTTATCCTAACTAACTTATGACCTATATTTAAATGTGCACATTGACTGAATCTATATCATATCCTTTGAAAAGAACTAAATTCTATCTGAGTTATAATTTCATAAAATACCATAGCATCAATTCATAACTTTGATGTTCATTCTATAAAAACTTGGGCTCAACTGCCAGCTATTTGGCTTCTGTAGCATAGTTAGCCCTTTTTAAAAACGTGTATCCTTGAAATAACATAGCAATCAAGCAATTCCGCCCTTGCAATAGATTTTCTTACTTATTTATATTACATGTTAAATTCAAGAAATGTGCTCCAGCTATCTATTTATCAACATGCTGCAACAGCTGCTCTGAAATTGGGTTACATGCTTCCAAAAGTGAACTGGTCATGTAAATTAATGTTAAATATTTGAATTATTTTGCACCAGTATGGAGTATTTAGGGTTCTGAGTATGTTTGAGATGTTTAAGAGATATAATCAGATCTAGTGTTACATATTGAAAGGGAAACTGATCATGTAAATTGATGTGAAATATTTTGCACCAGTTCGGAACTTGAGGGTTGTGAGTACTTCAATTCACCATCACTTAGATACTCTGTACATTGCCACACGCTCCAGATATGATAGATATCTGTTACCATCATAAGACTAATGATCATTGGTAACACATTAAACTGCTCTGAAATTAGATTACATGCTTCCAAAAGTGAACTGATCATGTAAACAAATGTTAAAATATGTGATCTATTTTGCACCAGTATGGAGTATTTAGGTTTCTGAGTGTTTACTTTAAATCATTTCATTTGAGATCTTTAAAATATATTACTGCTGTAATCAGGTAATAACTTGAACTGATTGTGCTATTACCAACATGTATATGTTTACAATATTACATCAATACTAGTTGATTTTCTAGCGAATATACCAATGGCTAATCTGATACAATCCTTCAACCCTATGATTTAAAAATTGTTATGCATACCAAAGTGAACTGATCATGTATGTTTTAAATACAAGAAGTATTTTGCACCAGTTTGGAGTATTCAAGGTTGCGAGTACTTTAAATTGCTTAAGAGGTCAGGTCAATGTTTCAGTGTGCGTCAAAAAACGTAATTAATTATGTAAGGGGGGAGGGTGTAAATCCCTGTTATGACACCACCAAAAAGTGTTGACATATTGTTATGGTCTCCGTTTTTTTGTGATGGCGGTTGGTGGTTGGAGTCTGTAACAGATTCTTACAACTTCCAATAACTTAACAAATACCGGAGTTTCTCGCGAATAGGCCCACGGGCGTTTATTTTGCACTGGGCGTTTATTTGAAAGAATTTTTAATAAACGCACATGGGCCTTTATTAAGAGGGAAAAAACATTTTTCCAAGGGGGGTGGGCGTTTATTTAGAGGGAAAATAGCTCTCCCAAGCCAGTGGGCGTTTATGTCGAGGGATATTATAGATCGCAAATATGACACATGTCCTTCATACTCATGCACTAGTATCATGAACGCGGGCAAGAACGTTGACCAATATGTAACCTCTTGTCATATTTTTATTAATTATTTGTACTAGAATGACAGTAATCACCTATTACCTTACATATGTACTGTTCGCAATTTCATTCCTTTTCTCGAATAATTCGCCCACTGGGCGTTTATTTGAAATCATTTTTAATAAACGCCCATGGGCCTTTATAAAGAGGGAAAAAAACTTTTTCATTCACCCCTCTTTCAAATAAACGCCCATGGGCCTATTCGCAAGAAACTCCGGTACTGTTTAGACTGACTTCAATTTTTTCTGAATCATCTACAAGTTCTCAGAAGTTCATATCTGATTTTAGATTTGACCTTCAATGACCTTCTCTAGGTCAAAAAAGGTCAAAAAGGTCTTTTTTCAACTTGCTTCAAATTGACTAAATTTTGTTTTCAAAATCAGCATTTGACTAAATTTTGTTTTCAAAATCATCTACAAGATCTCAGAAGCTCAAATCTGATTTAAGATTTTAGATCTGACCTTCATTGACCTTCTCAAGGGCAAAAAGGCCTTCCAACTTGTTTTAAATTTACCAAATTTTTTTAGGTGGTCACATTTTGTCATGTTAATGCCTTGTGTATAACTTATGAAGCGTTTGATTACGTCATCATTTACATGAATTGCGCAGGTCTGTAAGTACATAGTGTGATATTCTTATAAATCGTTGTCTATGTAAGAATATCACACTTATGGACGTATAGAGCTGCACAATAAATGATGACATAATAAAACGCATCAAAAGTTATACGTTATTTGGGAATAATAAACATGCTATAAGTGAGTTGCAAAATCTCTTTAATAACATTCAATAATGCTTTATTTCAGGAAAAATGAAATAAATCCAGTGATTGTGTTGAAATCGTACCGTATCATGATTCTCAAGGGAGATGAAATGAACAATATGGATGACAATGGATTCGATAGAGGCAAAGAGACAGATGCTCTAATATGTGTGACTAGATTGACTGGAGATGATGGGAAAATCATTTTTGATGATTTTGATGAGCAAGTGCGAACATGGCCTCCTACACACTTTAGGCAGAGAATAGAGGTGATGTACGATGGTGAAAATGCCAAAGATCTTGGTGGGCCACGTCGAGAACTTCTTACAGATTTAATAAGGTAATATTCTCTCAATAGATATAATGTATGTGTAACTTGGAGCAAGTGAAAATATTATGAAGGAATTAATATTGTAACCTTTGCAAGATTTTTCATAAGGGGTTGGATTTTCATTCTTAAAATCTCGTCTGAAAAGTCTTGTCTGTATGTTTCAAGCCAAACCATTTGACCTAAATTTTTTAGCTCAATTATTTATTGAAAGTCTAGTAATGATTAGTTTTTGGTCATTCTGAGTAAATGTTAATATAGCCATTTTGGACTTTTCATTCCAAAAACTGTCTATTCTATTCAAGAGTGCAGTATTGTTTTCCTAGTGTCTTGTTTCTTTTTGCTACTGTATAATATTTTTTATGATATCTGATTTTCATTCAGTTTCAATGCAGATATAAAATTGGTCAAACAAAAAGCTGTATGTATGAATGTTCCTCCAAGAAAATCTTGGATTAAGATGTATATGGGAGGTGAGACCAGTACAAGTTATGTTCCCAGACTATTTTGTTTGTTTTGGGTTTTCTGAAAAACAACAGTGGATTGAGCATACTGTAATATAGAATTAGATAATGTAATATTTAAAGGTTTTACTGAGACTTGATTTCAACAAAATAGAAAATGGGCTGCCAAATTCCCCATCTATGTAGCAATCAAGTGAGTTAAATTCCCCATCCTGGTAACAATAATAGCTGGTCAAATATAGTTGAAATACATGAAATACCCAGGAGGAATTCACATTTCAGAAGTTCCTACTCCCAGGAAACAGTATGATGGCAGTATCCCACCTCCTTGGATGCTACTGTGATAATTTTCTACCCTTTTGTGGGGTGTCTCATGCAAACATTTGAATGGTACATAATGCATTATTTAAACTTATTGAAGATTCACGAAGATAAATTATTGCAGGTACATCAAAGGCGATGATTCACCATTCCTAAATGTGATCAACAATGAGTGCTGGATCAGTACTAGTGAAAGAGAACACATAGGATATTTTGCTGCTGGTGTTGCTGTTGGTGAGTAGCTGTCTAAACTAATATTAGGCCTATGGGCTCTTTAATTTTTGCTTCTAAAGTTAATTATCCCATCCAGTGCTTGCCTTAAGGACTAATCCGTTGTCAGACATTTTGGCTGGACATAATTTTTTTCACCAGGCATTTTCAAATTTCCAAAGACATTTTAAATGGAAAAACTTTTCTAAAAACGTTTTAGAGTATTGACTTCCGCTTCAAAATAAGTTGAATAGTTTTCGTCATTTCGTCACTCTGATCTTTGATATGAAGTAGCCTTTGTACTTTCCATTAGATTCAAATGAAAGCTAAAAATATGTAGGGGTCATAAATGTTTTCTTTGAAGAAAATAAATGAAATATTTTTTTTAATTTAAGCTATGGCATTGCTTTTTGAGGGACCACCTGTCAACTTCCTGGCAGAGGGGCAGATGGATAGACTCTTAAATAAGGAAAGCTTAGAACTAAATGGAGGAGAGCGAGAGTTTTCAAGAGGAATGAACATGTATGGTGTGCTTGAGGTAAATATATATTTAAACCCAACAAAGTTCAGAGAGAGTACCCATCAATCCATTTATTTGAGTACCCATCAATCCATCTATTTTTTCATCTACATGTATTTGTGTGTTTGTGCAATAATTCAGGAACTTGTTCTCAAAAATGTTAAAACGGCAGCATCTGTAGCTAGACTTTGATTACAATGTCAGATGGGTTTTCTGAGAATCGTAAGGATATATTACAATATGGTTGCATGCACTTGTAGCATAAGATAAAAACTTTTCTTACAAATCCAAATGTTATATTAATTTGCCACTTGCATTCATTGAAACCTCTAACTGTACTTCAATCATTTTGTTTTAGCTTGTAAGGAAGAAGCCCGTTATGCGGTATCTGCTTCGCCCAGGAACCCAGGCAGTCATGACAATGCGCAAGTTGAAGAGTCTCGTAAAACCTGTGTTTTCCGAAGCGGGAACCAACAGTAAAATAAAAGAAGAGAAAATATTTCGAATGTTCAACAAATACTTAATAGAAGTACAGCGTAAATAACAATTTTTGATAATTATCTTCTATTTTTCATTTTTATGTCAGCACCCAAAGTGATGACATATTGTTATGGTCTCCAACTTTTTTGTGGATGGTGTTCGGTGGTTGGTGTTCAGTGTTCGGCAGTTTGTGTCTATCACAAATAGCTGAATGGCAGGTGGTGACATTTTGCATGTTAATGCCTTGTTGTACATGCAAGCGCAAGTAATGCTAATTAGAAGTATAAAACACTAAGTCTGACTTACATCTTCTGATTACAGTATATGGAATAAATATAAGTGCTTTAAAGAGGTCTCGTTTAAACAAAATTATCAAAGTGTCCTCTATTTATCAATACAGGTTAACTGTACTCACTCAATTATTTACTTTATTTGCTTTTCACATAATATTGCTACTACTAGTATAGTAACTTATGAATTACAAGTAAGTCTCTTTTGGAATGAAAATAAACATGTGTTTCACTTTTCATATTTTGTATTTTCAGATGGCAACAGGCCAGTTGATATCCCAATGATACTTAAATTCATAACAGGCTCTGAAACGGAACCCATAACAGGGTTCGACCCGGGATTAACCATTGAATTCTATGACAACAATGATGATATCCCAACATCTTCTACATGCACAAATACTTTCCGCCTTCCATATTATGATGGGATCAAACAAGATAGTGTATTTGCAAAATTTGATTATGCATTTAGTAATAAGTACTTTGGCAAACATTAAAAGTCTTGTCTACATACTGTACATGTTTCCTGGCGCACTGTCAGGATTTACATTTTTTAGTGGACATTGCCTGAAGCTTAAGATTTCTTTAGCATTAGCATTTTAAAGCTATCATCTGAGAATTCATTTCTCTAATTATCCCATCGAACGAAGTTCGGAGGGATATAGGGAACGCCTCCGTCCGTACGTCCTTCCTTCCGTACATCCGTCTGTCCGGGGGATAACTCAAATACCGTTTGCCCGATTTTGTTTTGAGAGTAGAAGTTCTGCTCGAAAGCCGATTTTCAAAATGGCCACTCGTTTCAAAATGGCGGTCATTTTAGTGCCGATTTTACAGTAATTTAGGTACAATATATAAAACTGTAATAGCAATGTGTTTAAAATGTAAAAAAATTATATAGGACATTGATAAAGCAAGAAATGTAGATATTTAAGAAACACATGGCAGCCATCTTGAAAAATGGCGGCTTTTACACGCTACTTTACAATTTTTGCTGTAACTTCAAAAGTAGTGGAGCGATTTTGTTCATATTTGATATGTGAATACTCATAAGCATGGCACACTGTTTTATGACACTTTAGGTAGTAGGCAGCCATTTTGAAAAATGGCCACCATTTACATGTTTGTGTGTGTGATTTTGCTGAAATTGTATATGTGCCTACTTAGAAACATATATTACTCTTGGCTAGTGAGCGACCATTTTTAAAATGATGAATTTTTGCTATAACTGAAAAAGAAGAAGGATTTTGTAAAATGGCTGTTCGATGGGATTTGCTACGCTTCGGCGTTGCTCAGTGTTGTCTAGTTTGATGATTAGTTTGAAGGCAAAGGAGACTGCAGACGCTTCTATAACATAGTGGATTAAAATGGGGCTGTTTTGTGAATAGTGGACAGTGGAGGGTACAGTGAATATGTGTCAGGCATAGTGTCAAAAAGATTTAACATGAGAGAGCACTGACTATGACGTAATATTATTCTTGTGGTCTAATAAAGTTGACTATGGAGTAGTTCTACAGTGTAAATAGGATAGCTTTGGGTCCAGTCTCACACAATCTCATTAGAACTCCAGCAAAATTGAAACAGTTGATGACCAAACATTGTTAATTTGTGTATTTTCTTAAAATAGGATATATTTGGATGACGTTCATCATGTACAAGGGTGACGCAAAAAATGACACCCACCTTATGCTGCATAATTTATTTGTCCATTACCATATAGACTTGTCCTTTAGCACATTTGAAGTAGACATAATGCGTAAGCACCTCGAGAAATTTCAGATATGTAGCTCAAGTGGTTTAAATTTTATGAGCATTACAATAAATTCTCACTTTGGAGACTTTCTCATTAGCCGCAGATCTGAGATTGAGTGGGCACCCCATTCCCCTGATATTAACCCACCAAATTTTTACCTCGGGGTATTTAAAGGACCATATGTATGAGACAAAACATCCCCAAAACAGCTGACTTAAAGAGAGAAATTACAAGGAAGATCAGGGCCATATCTCAATGTGTAAGGGTAATCAACAACTTTGCCTGTAGAATTCATGTTCGCCTACAAAGGAATGTACGTCATATATGTCATATGGAACAAATCTTGTAACGCTCATAAAATTTGATCCATTTGAGCTACACATCTGAAATGTCTTGAGGTCTTTACACATTATGTCTTCTTTAAATGTGCTAAATGACAAGTCTGTATGACCATAGACCAACAAGTTATGCAACGAAAGGTGGGTGTCATTTTTTTTTGAGTCGCCCTGTATTTATCATTCCTAAGAAGAGAAATGCAATCAAAATTGTGACATATGTTATTGACTATGAATACTCAAATGTGATTGCTATTTTTATAGCTAAAATGGATGCATGTCCAACACATTGTGGGACCACTTGTAGTCTGATTCTGAAAGCTTTTTAAAAATATTTATTTAGTCATGATCAATATACCTATAGCATTAGCTTGCCTATGAAAAAGGTACTTGAGAAAGTTTGTTTTAAGATATTTTTTAGTGTTCCTGTACAGTACTTAGTATTAACAATTAGACGATTCTATACAAACTTTGATTACTAAATTTTGATGACTGTATGAGAGCTGTTATTAGGTATATCATATACATTCCTGAATAATTTAAGATGTTGATTATTGTTGCTATGGATTGTGTGATGTAATACTACTAGATGCTGAAAATGTGAATTTACATGTAAGTGTGAATTGTGGATAGAATGTGGAGATTTCTGTAAGTTGTATTGCCAATTAAGAAATCGGTTCAGTACTTGATTTGTGCATAATTTAAGCTGAAGTTTATCTGTTGTAAATTGATTGCTGTTACATCATGTTAAGAATTACTCTTCGAAGCATGTAAAATATTGCCAATATTTTGAACATGCCAAACATCATTATACCATGTCATTTTTATACCATATTTAGAAAGAATGAAGCAAATTTTCTTTAAATCTCTGATTTATAATTGTAAACTAGAGTATCTGACACTTGTATCAAAATAACAAGTACTTTTTAGTTTATAAGTTAAATTTCTTAAGATGCATTCATTATCCCAAAGAACGAAGAAGAACAATATTTGCAGTTGCAAAGAATTAAATAATGATGTTACTTTTTAAGGAATACTGAGTCCTAGTGCATCTTGGTGTGTATAATTCAGAAATACCTTATTCTGTGTAATATTAGTTATGAGAAATATAATGAGATACTAAAATGCTAAGTGTTTTTATTTCATTTTATTTGTCCCACAAGTATAATGGCATATTGTACAGGGTGGCCACAGTGGAAAAGTAAAACTCCAGTGCATCCCAATAGACTGGAATAAGAACAAGGCATTAACATGACAAAATGTCACCACCTAAAACAATTTGGTCAATTTAAAGCACGTCAAACCTTAAATCTAAAGTCTGATTTGAACTTCAGAAAACTTGTAGATGATTTTGAAAAAAAAATTGTGCAATTTGAAGCAGAGTAAAAAAGACCGTTTTGACCTTGAGAAGGTCATTAAAGGTCAAATCGTAAATCTAAAGTCAGATTTGAATTCCTGAGAACTTGTAGATGATTTGGAAAAAAATTTTGTCAATTTGAAGCAAGTTGAAAAAAGACCTTTTTGACCTTTTTTTGTTGATCTTGAGAAGGTCATTGAAGGTCAAATCTCATATTTTAAGTCAGATATGCACTTCTAAGACCTTGTAGATGCTTCAGAAAAAAATTGAAGTCAGTCTAAACAGTATTTGTAAAGTTATTGAAAGTTGTAAGAATTTGTTACAGACCAGATACCAGACACCAACCGCCGTAACAAAAAACAGACCACGAGACCATAACAATATGTCACCACTTTTGGTGGTGACATAAAAACTGGAAATGAATGAACATTATCAATATATTCAATACGATTATTATCCCACCGAAAGAGGAGCTCATGTTATGCAAGGAAAGGTGTCCAATTCCAGCTAATTACACAGTATTTCATATAATTGCATTGCATAATACTAGTCTAATGCACCCAAAGTCATTTTTTATAACATCCATTTAACAATTTCAAATTGGCTGTTCACTCACTCACCTCTTGTATTTTCAACAAAAAAACAGATGGATGCACTGACATAGAAATGAAAGAATTGCAATTCAAAGTAGGAGTTAGCCATTTGGTGATATTTTGAAAAAACCCTTGCACCGACAAACTACCTGAAAACTTCCAACCACTTGAAAAATCATTACAATTAACAGCTTTACGACCAAATTATACAGAATTGTAAAACATCAACACTTCAGGCTTGATTCAAAAAATCTGAAAGCCTACTGATGTGAATAAGCTTATTCAATGGATTATTGTTGCAGTTCATGATTAATTTTATCTAACAGAAAAACCAGCAACTCTCTTGCCTCCTCTAATGTGTTAGGGGTTGATTTTCCACTTTCCTCCATAAGCATTTGGAATAATTCTTTGAAGTGTTCCTTGTTAGTTTCTACAACACAAGTATTGTCAGATTCTAACTGAGCAAATATTTCTTGGTCAATCTTTTGCAACACATCCTTATGTCCAAATTCTTCAGGGGCAAAGTACAGAATATCTGGTTTCCCATTAACTGAACTGACAGATTTTGATTTTTGAATATGGTGTGTATTCCACATTCTTTGCGTTGTGTCAAGTTCTCTTTGCAGTAGATCCATGTAACAATATCTCATACACTCAATGTCTAGTATGTTTGAATTGTCAATAATGCCAACATCTAACAGCTGGCGGCAGTGAGATATCCACATTGCTGCTCCATATATTGGAAATTTACTCCAGAAACTTTCTATTCTCTGGTTTGCAGTTGATTTTCCATACAGAAATGCAACTTTACATGAACAGTCATCATTTACAGAGCGTAGAACAGTTTGAAGCAGTTCAACCTTGACATTCTCAGTCCCCCGATCTGCGCGAACAATCTTTGGAATACCATTTACATTTTTAACACAATCGCAAAAGTATTTGCAAATTAACATAGAGTTTTTATTTGAAGATCCTGCTTTGAGCCACAATATTCTTCTACTGAATCCATCCAAGCATCCATGGACAGTTAAACCATATGGAGTTAGTTTATCCCAGCCATCAATATGCCATATATAGTTGCTCCCTTCAGATGTATATTGTCGCCTTTGTAAGCGTCTCGTTGATCGTTTGTGTACACCTTCTGGGTCAAGAACTGAGAGCAAACGGCGAATTGTTTCATGATCTGTTTTCAGCCTGCAATTCACAAAAGCTGTCATACTTTATTTTATGCCAGAAAAAGGGGAGATAAAATAGTGAAATACAGTATAATGGTAAAGAACTTTATGAGTATCTTATTGGGCGGGATGACAGGTACAAAACTGAGTTGACGGGAACAACTGAATTGATGGGTAACAGAAAATGAAACAACAGCACTCTGAGGTGACTTATACCAGAAAATGAGATGACGAGGACCAAAAAGGGGAAAATACATGTACTGAGATTAAGATACGACACAACTTTTTTAACTTATGCCACAAGTGGCAACGGTTTCAAACGTCATGATGACATCTTTTTAATAATTGAGTTTGCCTTCAATGAAAACTAAGCGACAGGTACAGGTACTGAGATGACCTAGGTAACATGTATTGAGTACTGGTGTATGTTGAACTGACTTGATGGGCAGCATACAGTAGGTATTTTCAAGAAAAGTATTCAGTTGACGGCAGAATAGTTGCTGGCCTTAAAGTGATCTGATTGGCGGAATCACATTCCAGCCTATGCCTTCCCATACATGTACCTCATAAATGTGGGGCTGAT